GAGAAGATAGGATTATTTTCAAGTCTTGAGAGCTACTGTAATTTGTTCCACTTGGTTTTGGACTTGCTTGGTGCCTACATCCCTTCTTTCCCTCCAATTTATCCTATTTGTAATGGAAATGTCTACTTTGTGCATATTCCACCACTGTAATATGGAAATAAAACCAAAAACGAAACTCACTGCCATCAAGTCAATTCCGACTCACAGCAACCCCCTTTGCGTTTCCAAGGTGGTAAATCTTTAAGGAAGTAGATCGCCCAGTCTTCCCTCCATGCAGTGGCTGGTAGGTTTGAACCACCAACCTTCTGGTTAGCAGCCCAATGCCTTGGGCACTACACCACCAGAGGTCACATACAAAGTGGAATTTTGTCCCAGAATGGAATATGTCTGAAGTTTCACCCATATTTGATTTAAATGATTCAGAAGTGAGATTTTAGACTTGGAGTTAAGACTCTTAGGATGATGTGATGGGGTGAATGTGTTTTATATGTCGCAAGAACATGGAATTTTGGGTGTCAAAGAGTGAAAAGTCATGGATTGAATTATGCCCCCAAAAAATATGTGCTGTAAATCCTAACTTCTATGCCTGTGGTTATAAACCCATTTGGAACTGGGTTGTCTTTGTTATGTTAATTAGGCAGAATTCCTGTAGAGTGTATCTTCAGTCAGGAGCTCTGGTAGCACAGTGCCTAAGGCATTTGACTGCTAACCAGAAGGCTGGTGATCCAAGCCACTCCTTGGAAGGAAGACTGGACAATCTACTTCTATAGAGATACCACACCTCAGAAAATCCAGGAGGGGTCAGTATGGGTTAAAATCAACTCAATGGCAGTCGGTCTCTTTTGAGATATAAAAGAGATTAAAGAAGCAAGCAGGGGAGAGATGGGGTAAGACAGATGCTAAGACACATGGCAATCTCCAAGGAACCAGGAAGCAAGAGCTAAAGAGAGAAGGACCTTTCTCCAGAGCTGACAGAGGAGAAAGCCTTCCCCCTAGAACTGGTGCTCTGAATTTAGACCTCTAGCCTCCTAAACTGTGAGAAAATAAATTTCTGTTTGTTAAAGCCGTCCACTTGTGGTATTTCTGTTATAGCAGTTCCAGACAACTAAGACAATATTCAATCTTGAGTTTTAAAAAAATCTGATCTTTCCCCATCTTTTTTTTTATTTTTTATTTTTTTATTTTATTTTGATTTGGGTGAAGATTACTTTCCCCATCTTTAATCATATATTCACTCATTCTATAAGCATTTATTGAACACCCATCAGGCCCTACAAGTATATGATACAGTCCCTGCCCTTGAGGAGCATTCCAGGAGGCCAGCAGTTACCTAGTGTCCTAATGGTGGTTTGAACAAAGTGCTCTGTGAACGCTATGAAGAGTTAGAGGGCATCTGGGAAGGCTTCCAGAAATTAAGACATTTGAGCTGCAGACTGGGTAGAGAAGGAATTTCCCATTTTTGTTAAATAACTTATCAATTTGTCAGTTACAATCACATAATTGAGAAATCAGCTGATTATATGCTAGGCACTTTACTAATCTCTGAAGACGTAAAAGACCAGGAAGACAGTCCCTATCTACAAAAGGCTTATACGAGGTATAAAGGCTGACATCACCATTCTTCCCTGCACCTTAAAGAACTCCACCCTTCTGGGTACCCTGGCAAGCTCACACACAGAAAGTGATTTGTTATATCTCCTCCATGACCTGCCTGGTCTTTAGACTTTTCCATCTTCCCATTCTTATTGCTTCTTGAAGTCAGAACACATCTAGACTCTTGAAGAAGCTCCCAAAACTGGCTTTCTGCTCACTCTAGGAATTAGCACTTCTGCCATATCATCCATGCTGCATCACAGCTGCCATCTTACCCAAGACATTTCAGAGTTTCCTATTGCCTATGGAGCAAAATCCAGGGCCAACTATAAACTAGCCTTTGAGAGCTGCAGCTGGCACCATGTTGGGCATAGCTAGGCAAGGAGTCTATGTATGAGGAAAACATCACCCCCTTCCTCCTGGTGGCTTGGATTTCAGACCCACTCACCTACCTACTATTAGCACCTACTATTAGCAACCCCTCCTTGGGTTTCTGAGGTGGTATCTCTACAGAAGTAGATTGCCCAGTCTTCCCTTCGAGAAGTGGTTGGTGGGTTTGAACTGCCTTAGGCACTACGCCACCAGAGCTCCTGTTTGTTGTTTTTTTCCTTTTGTTTGATTTCACCCACTTGGCCAGGCATCTACTATACTGGGTGGCCCCTGTGGCTTGATCTTATTACTTTCATTTTTCTCTCTTATTGCTCCCCTACCTCTCCCTCCAGCCTACTGGCCTACTTTCCTGAACAAAGTTGACGTGTTCTCCCTGTGCCTATTTGTTCATGCCTTTCTTTTCTCACCGCCCCCCCACCTTTCTTTCAAGGCTGGTTTTGAGTCTGACATACTCTGAACTCCTATAGAACTTATGGTCTGCACTAGTCATTCATTTCGCACTTATGCATTTGAAAATTATGCCCATGACATAGTACTGTTGAGTCTCATTCTCACTCCCTTATTGGACTATGAGTTTTTAAAAGGCAGGAATAAAATGGCATCTTTACCATGCTTAGTCCAGTGGGCTTAATGAGGGCTAAAGCAATGAGTGATGTTGTTGATAATGGTAACAATGACTTATACAAAAATGTCCCAAAGACTTCCAGTAGGTAAGTGGACTGTAGAGAATGAGTGTTTCTTAATGCTTCTTGGTCTAGTTTGAATTCTTAATATTGGGAAATAATAGAACTCAGTTTCTTCTCAAATATAGTAGTCCTTTCATAGAACAAAAGTGGGAGTCACCTCTCAAAAGAGGGTTTTATGCTGAGATTTTCAGGAATCTCCAAATCCCACTCCTTGAATATCATGTCCCACCGTAAAAAGTTTACTTCCTGCTTAAGAATCAACACATCCTCGGCCTCTTGGTTTCCTCTTCACTTCCTTTACCAGGCCTAGCAGTTGCAGTTTTGTTTTTATTTCTGGTGTTTTGACAAAGAAACTCCAAACGCAACAGTTCCACGTCCTGTGGTAGATGCAGGGTGCACAGTAGTTTCTCTCCCTCTTTTCCTCCCAGGCTTTTCCTTCCCTCCCTCCCAACACATGAGTGATTTTTGTAGCTTGTAGAATCACACATCAATTACTAGACATCTCAGCTTGTAGACTGGAGGGCCTTCTCTTTTCATGGGCCTCCCCCAAGCCACACAGGAAATTGCATGGGTTATCTGTTTCAGGGCCTTTGCTACACTCTGTTCCTTCCTCAAAGGGGCTCAACTGAGGGAGAAGAAATGCAGGATTCCTTTGGTGTCTTCCTCCAACAAAGTTCAAACTTGCATTTGGCCCTCTAGCAGTGACCTGTTTTAAAAACTTGCTTTCTTCTTTTCTCCTACCCATTTCTGCAAGAGATTAGGCAGGTCACAAATCACATTGAGCCTCCAGTCCAGGCTTGAGGCACCCAGCAATCTCCCAGTGGAGGAAATCAATTTTAAAAGCCTTACCCATCTCAATAATCTGGGTGTCCCCTGAGCCATCACCTGCCTCTGCCCAGAAGCTCTAGCCAGTTCAGAGAGATTCCCATTGCTTTGTGCTTATACCATCTTTGAGATACATCCTAAAGGCAGACTTGTGAACACCACCTAGTGAGCTTTTCTGTATGTGTACCTAACTTAGGAGAGCACAAAACACCCCCCACCAGCCCCCACCCTTGCCCGCCAACTCTAATCTGGCTGAGTTTCTCAGCCTTGCGAAAGTTTCTAAAAAAGGTCCATCTCAGACTCTAGAGGGTCCCATGCTCCCTCATACTTTATAAAAGCTCACTAATCCCTGTTCCTTGAAGGTAGCCTGAGTACAGCTACCCAGGGAAAGCCAATTGTCCCTGCAGAGAGGTCGGAGAACTTTGCAGGCCAAGCAGTGACTCTGGCTTAGAAGAGATGACCAGGTCTAAAGGGTAAACCAGAAGCTGGGAAGAGATGGCAGAGTTGATCTCAATTCTGATTCCTCTTGACCACAAACTCTGTTTTCCTTTGAACAAGGGCGGGAATCACTTAGAAGTTTACATAAAGTTTGCACTTTCTCTTTTCTTTCTTTCAAAAGCCCCAGGCCCTGCTAAGATTGACTTAGGGCTAAATGTCAAGTTGTGGAGCAGGGAGCAATGCGGGAATACATCTAGCCTCTCCTTTGGAAAGTGATTGGCTGGATTCAGCTAAGGTTGCAGCAGTACCATAAGAGTCCCCACGAATCCACTCAGCAGGCAGAGGAGTTGTGGCCCTTACTCTGGTGCAGCCCCCAGATGTGGCCAGTACACCCCAATCAATACACACCATCTCAGAGGGCTGGGGTATCCAGAGGAGTGTCAAGTTTTATCAGAAATAGTGTCTGCCCAGGGAGGGGAGCTTTTCAGAAAGTTATGAGAGGAGATGTGACTGAGGAAGAGGGACTTCAGGAACAAGAGGACGACTGGACCTTTTCCAAGGCCAGTCTGCAAACAAAAGAGAAGCCCACAGACCCACACTGAAGACAAGCCTCACTTTGCCAGTTCTGTTTCTTTTTCAATACCCATTTTTCAGATTCAGCAACTTCTGCTTTTTGGCAGAGTTTGAGCTCACATGTTTCCCCATTTGCAAACCTTAGCAGTTACTAACATTTTTCCCCCCCCCGAAGCATTTAAGTTGCCAACCAGAATAACTGGACCTCCAAAAAGGCCTCTCTTTTCTCCCTCCACGTCCTTCCCTGCACACCCACTGCCTGCCCAGAGGAGTTTCCTAGGTAGGAGTGGGAGCGATCCCTAGGAGTTGGCGAAGGAGGCGTCGGAGGAGCGAGCGTTTGCTCTTCTCTCTTGCAGCAGCGCTGAGCCGCGAGCTCCCTCCTCCGACCCAGGACAGCTGCCCGGGGAGGGGGCGCCCTTGACCCCGCGCCCCGCGCACTCGGGCCCGGCGTCCTGCAGAGACGTGCGCCCTGCGCCCCCAGCCAGGGTCCTTTACCTCCATGTCCTCCAGGTGCCGATTCCGCCGCGAACTTGCCCTCTCGCTAGGGCCGGTGCTCGCGATGTCTGCAGTCTGCTCCTTCCCGCCCTGTCCGGGCTCGGGCTGCGGCGGGCACAAGGCTAGTGCGCGGCGGCGCGGCGAGCCCGGCTCCACTCGGCTGCGGGACTGCCCGGGCCCAGGGGCCCAGCTCGAGAGAACGAGGAAGGAGGAGGAGGGAGGCGGGAGGAGGGAGGAGGGAGAAGGGAGGGGAGGGGTTGGGGAGGAGGAGAGGGAGGCAAGCGATCAGAGTTTAAATTTAGACACAAATCTAAACAGATACTGTCCCTCCCAGGGCAGGACTCAAGAGAGGGAGCCACGACTCCATTAATCTGCCCAAACATGGGGATGGGACAGCAGCCTTGCCCCTCTTTCTCACTAAGTTTCTCCAGGACCCTGGCTTTTGCCACAGTTTCAATTCTTCTCAACCCCTCCCTCGTGTAATGTGCCTTCTTTCTATTGCCCTAAACATTAGAGTTATTCTTTCATTCTTATTTTCCCTACTTTCTAGTCCCTTCTTTTATTTGCATCATTACCGCTTTCCTTACCCCTACCCCCGACTCCCTTTTTAAAAACTACGTTAATGTCTACCTGGTTTTCCTGGAATTTTTGGTGCAAAGTTAAGAGGACTCTTTCTCCCTGGTCCCAAACCTCTGTAATCTCTCCTGGCCCCAAAAGAGGCTTCCATAGTCAGCATGGAACTGACAGGACCAAATTTCCCTTTTACATCTCTTTTCCACTACACCTTCTAGTCTCACATTTTCAGGAAACCACCATCTATCAGTCCATCATCTATGTTCCTTCATGTTTCATCTTCTACAGAAGGAAAACAACGTCAAACAGCTTTTCAAGATCCCTGTAGCTGTAAATCGTTTCCTCTCTCCCTGATTTGATTGATGCATTTGGTTTTATGAGAATTTCAGCTCCCACAAACTGCTTGCTAGAGTGCCTTTTCTCTGTTCCGAAAGAATACAGTAAAGGGCAAGATCCTGAACATCCGATTCCCATCAGTAACCCTCCCCCAGGGCAGTCCCAGCCCTCTGGGCAGCGAAAAGGCTGCTGGGGAGGGATGCAGGGACTGGAATCTGGACCACGTTCTTTCTCTGCTTCCAGTTTCCACTCTTCCCGCCAGCCCCTGGTGCCCCTTCTGGATTCCTCTCCCTAGGGTAAAGAGGAAGAAGGGGGAATGACTTCAGAGTTTTGTGAGTGAAAGGGGATGGGCTGGTAGGGGTGCCTTCCTGCAGTTCTACAACATTCTCCTGCCCGTCTCACCCCCAACCCCTGACACAGATTCGGTCAAGGAAAGGGAGCGATATCACCAAGGCCAACAGTAGAAGGGCGATGGTGAGTTCTATGGAGGGAGGCATGTGGAGAAACCAGGCAAAGGAAATAAGCTTAGAGTTAGCTCACAATAAGAAAAACTGCCTTGACTCTACCTAGCGCTTCAACACCACCTGCAGACTTCCGGGTACTTAGATTGCTGCTGTAGTTACCAGTCTTGAAGACATGAATACCTTCCTGTCATAGAACCTTTTAAGGCCCAACTTTCTAAAACAGCCCTAATGCCAGAGTTGTTTCTAGCTCCTTTAACTTAGCCAAGAACAGAGGCAACATCCCTGATTTCAGCGTTAGACAGATAGAAGGTTGCATTGTAGCTCTGCTGCTCTTTAACTGTGTTTCCTTAGACAAGCCACCAAAACTCTCTGATCCTCATTTTCCTCACCTATATACTCTGGATAAAGAAGCTATTTGTATAATGCTTTACCTCAAGTACAAGTTAAATGACTAGGAGCCTGGTATGTCTTTTGTTTAAAGCCTGGCGCTCGGGGCCCAATGAAAAGGGATCCTACCCCCAGGAATGAATGGTGAGCCCCCTCCTATTCCAACCACAGAGCCACACTAGGGGCTAGGAGGCAGCAAGAAAGTAAATTTCCTGGTACCCTGCAAAGCATACTTGTGATTTCTACTAAAATCTCATAACTTTTCTTTTAACCTTGCACTATGAGGTGTTTCCTTTCTCCTTCCCCCTAACCCTTCTTTTGGCCCAGAATGGGGTTGCCCCAACACAGATTTCTGGCTTCACAAACAGGAGGGTGGAAGTGCTTACCCAGAGGAAACCGTTAGGCCCAGATAGCATCACAATCACCCAAGGTGACTTGCAGCTGCACCCCACACCCTGCCGAGGCCCTTCCCTTGACTGAGAACAGATGACCCACAAAGCAAACAGGCTCTTTCTCTGCCATGCTTTTGAGTCCAAGGCTGAACTCTGTTGGAGCTTGCCGAAGAGTCAAGAGTACAGAGCCAGGAGTTATTCCAGAGTTCTTTGGGCCCCAGGCAGAGACCTTCACTGAGTGGAAGGTATAGGCAATGGGGAGGAAGAAGGGGAAGCGAGGAGCAGCCATAAGCAGGCGTGCCCTCCCTTGCTTTGCCCTCCCACCCTTCCAGAAGTCAGAATGGAGGTAACCCGGTTAGTAAATGCCTGTATTTCCTGGGTTACTAGCTTGCTTTGTGGGCTGGGAGGAACTGACAGCCCAAAAGGAAGGGAAAGTGGCTTTCTGAGGGGTTGGTTCTCCTCTTTTTCTGGGGTGCTGGCTGGCCCACAAGGAAAAAAAAAAAAAACAGAAAAACAAAAACCCAACTCATTCGACCACCACAAGTGACTGTCATTGAGAAATGGCATTGAATACCCTGAAATGAAAACACAAAGGCTTGTGTGGTTTTATGTGTTTAAAGAAACAACAACGGAAGTTTTCCCAGAGGAAGACGGTATCTGTTTTAAACATGTGAAAAGCAAATGCAGGAGGAATGTAGCAAGGCAGCAGTGGGAGCTGAATAAGGAAGGTATTGGGGTGGTAGAAGGCAGCCATCAGGGATTGAGAAGCTCACGAGGAGGGCCTTCCTCTGGGTCTATTGGGCAGTGACCTGCTGCTAGCAGACTGACTGCATAGGGAAACTGAGCAAATGAGTAGACATGTTGAGGGCAAAGGGAGCCAGGTTTCTTGGTGTTGGAGAAAGGTGTTACAAACATGCAAAGGAGGAGGGCTAGAATGGACCCTGTGGTGTTGGACTGGAATGGGAGGTATTAGTATGAGCTCACGGTTTTCTAAATAAATACATAGATACAGAAATAAATGCAGGTGTCAATGTGTATACATACATACATGTATCTCCTAGCTTAATCCACAGAAAGGGTCTAGGAGCAGAGATACCCCAGCAACAATAAATACACACAGAGCCCAGATCTTGGTTTGTAAATACCATTCTCCACTAAAGGAACCAGGATTCCTTGAAGGAAATGACTAATTCCTGGGCTGGTGCAGGTAGAGAACAAGACAAGCCTGGGTCATCTTGTGTCAGAAAATTCTCAGTGAATGATGGAGAGATGTTAAAAGGACACAGAAGTCACCTTATAGGAGCTCCCACTGGCAATATTGGGATAATTTAAGCATCAATATAAATAATGGTAATTAGATAATATTTCACCAATGCTTTTAGTGCAGTTTAGACTTCGTCCTTCAATGCTATCAGTTCTTGATCATATGCTACCTCCGGAAGTGGTTGAATGTCGACCAAATCTTTTTGGTAAGGTGACTCTGTATATTCCTGCCATCTTTTTTTGATGCTTCCTGCATTGTTCAATATTTTGCCTGTAGAATTCTTCGATATTGTACTTTTTCTTCAATTATTTTGGCTTGAGAAATACCAAATGTGTTCTTTCCTTTTGGTTTTGCAACTCCAGGTCTTTCCACATTTCATTATAATACTTCACTTTGTCCTCTCAAGCTACCCTTTGAAACCTTCTATTTAGTTGTTTTATTTTGTCATTTCTTTCACTTTAGCTACTATCCATTCAAAAGCAAGTTTCAGCCTATTCTAACATCTGTTTTAATCTTTTCTTTCTTTCCTGTCTTTTTAATGATCTTTTGCTTTTTTTTCATGTATGATGTCCTTTATGTCATCCCACAACTCTCTCTAGTCAACAGTCATTGTGTTCAATGCATTAAATCTATTCTTAAGAAGGTCTCTAAATTCAGGTGGAATATACTCAAGATTGTAATTTGGCTCACATGCACTTGTTTTAATTTTCTTCAACTTCAGCTTGATCTTGCATATGAGTAACTTAATTGATGATCTGTTCCACAGTTGGCCACTGGCCTTGTCTGACTGATGATATTGAGCTTCTCTATCTTCTCTTTCCACAGATGTAGTCAATTTGATTCCTGTATATTCCATCTGGTGAGGTCCATGTGTATAGTCACCACTTATGTGCGGAAAAAAAACATATTTGCAATGAATAGATCATTGATCTTGCAAAATTCTGTCATATAGTCTCTGGCATAATGTCTATCACCAAGGCCACATTTTCAAACTACTGATGCTTTTTATTTGTTTTCAACTTTTGCATTCCAATCACCAGTAATTATTAGTGCATCTTGATTGTATGTTTGATCAATTTCTGACTGCAGAAGTTAGTAAAAATTTTCAATTTCTTCATCTTTGACATTAGTTGTTGGTGCGTACATTTGAGTAATAGTCATATTAATTGGTATTCCTTGTAAGGTTATGGATCTTATCCTATCACTGACAACATTGTATTTCAGGAGAGATTTTGAAAAATTTTGATGATGAATGGAACACCATTCCTCTTCAATTTGTCATTCCCAGCGTAGTAGACAATATGATTGTCCAATCCAAAATGGCAAATACCAGTCCATTTCAGCTCATTAATGCCAAGGATATTGATCTTCAAGTATTTCATTTAATTTTTGACAACTTCCAATTTCCCATGACTCATATTTCATATATGCCATATTCAGATTATTAATGGATATTTGTAGCTGTTTCTTCTCATTTTGAGTCAGCACATGTAGGTCCCGAAAGCTTTATTCCATCCACATCGTTAAGGCTGACTCTACTTTGAGGAGGCAGCTCTTCCTCAGTCATATTTTAAGTGCCTTCCAATGTGAGGGGCTCATCATCTTCCAGCACTATATCGGACAATGTTCCACCACTATCCATTACATTTTCACTGGCCAGTTTTCTCAGAAGTAGATTATCAGCTCTTCCTAGTCTGTCTTAGTCTGGAACTTCTGCTGAAACCTGTCCACCATAGATGACGCTGCAAGTGTTTGATACACCAGTGGTATAGCTTCCAGCATCACAGCAACACGCACAAGCCACCATAGTACTACAAACTGACGGACAAGGGGTGGAACCATAGATTCTAACCCATTAATTAAAATAGGAGGACATGAATTGATACTGATACATGTAACTGGATAAATAAAGGTGGTGAAGAGAAAGATTTCTTTACAACAGAAGGTCAACTTATAAATCTAAGAAAAAAATTTAGAATATTTACTATCTGGCTACATCAATGTCATGGGATGCTAAATGTAATGGGACAAGGCCTGGGATGTTATACAATTTCAAAGTTTCTCCTTACAACATACTTATTCCTTATAAAGGAAGAAAAAGTAACTTTACAGAGGACAAACCTGACAGATCCCACAGTAACTATCTTATCAGAATT